ATAGATCCAAAAAGGCTATCAATATCAACAGGAGGGCATATAGAGAGAAGAGAAGGTTGATGATATAGTATTGGGGATCCCTGAAATTGTGCTGAAAGAAGAGAGGGAGACAGAAATGGTATTTGGAGAGGTAGGAAAAAAGCTAGGAGAATTAATGGTCATTGGATCCAGAGGCAAAGGACCTCAAAGAATGTGCTTATCCACATCGTTGAGTGCTGCAGGAAAGAGGAGGAGAATAGGCTACTTTATTTGGAAACTAGGAAGTCCCTGATTAGAATGGAAGCCAGACCAACAGTGTTTAAGGAATGAAAAATAAAGCAGAAAAGGCAGCACGTGTAGACTGTCCTTTCTAAATCTTTCAAACACAGGTGAGGGCAATAGTGACCTAAAGACAATTTGGGAAGCAGGATAGGGGTTCTAAGATTGGGCTCCATACACACACTGCTTGAGTTCAAATCATAGCCCCACTGCTCAATAGCTGTGCAACTTTGGGCAAGTTAACTTTCCTAAGCCTCAGTTTCCTTGTCTGTAAAATGGTGGAACAAGTAGTCCCTGTTTCCTATGGTTATTGCAATGATTAACTGAGAATGTATTGAAGCCCTCAGCACGGGGCAGAGCACATGGTAAGCAGCCAATTAATGTGAGACATGAATTTTAACAGGGTCAAGGAGGAAAACTGGGAGTGGGAGAAGTTTCCAGCCAGGAGGGAGAGAAGATGCTCAAGTGAACTAGGCTCTGGGGAGGTGGAGTGGACCGGATTGAGGACTTGGAGGGCTTGTGGGGAGGGGGAATAGGGAAGATTTTTTCAAAACCCAACTTTGGCTAACGGATCACCTGCTGGTTACTGAGTGAGGCAGCTACTTCTCTTTCATTTTCTTGGGGAGTCATGCTGAGGCATCTGGGAGCTTCTCTCTCTCCTAAAATCTTCCGATGTTTCCTGGAGCCTGGTCTCTGCCTCTATGCCTCCCATTGCCTGCTGGTTCTCTAGGTGGAGGCAGCTGGACTCAGGCAGTCGCAGGACGTCCCAGCAGCACACACTAAGAGAGGGGGACTCTGACAGGGCTGCTTCATAACTTCTCTTTGGGCTATACCCTTGACACAGGCCAAATCCTGCTGTCCCCATCACAGTTTGCCTCTTCAAATATTCCAAATGACCTTCCATGGTGACGGTTGCTTCTGAAACACATGGTCTCCCTGGAGCTCCCAGCTAATCTGCTTCCTTCCAGTGGCAGTTCCACCAAACTGTTCCCACTCTGCTGCCTGTGATTGTTCTCGTACCTGTTCAAAACCCTGTCATAGTTCACCTGCAGTAGTTCCACTGGCACTGGGAGGGCCTCTTCCACCTTCCCAGCCTACACTGGGTATATCTTCACATTTACCCTCTGCTCCATCCTCACCAAATATGGATCTGCATATGTTGCTTCTCTTCTTGCAATATCTTTTATTCTCTTCCATGGGCTAGGACCCCCTCATCTTTCAAGAATAGCGTCCAGCTGGAAACCTTTCCTAATATTGCCCCCACCACCACTTGTGAGTTGAACGTGCTCCTTTACCCAAGAGTTCCCATAGCAACTGGTGGCTAGCCCCCTCTTCCCTATTATTCCTTATACCTTAGGGTTACAGTTGGGGAATACATCTGTCTCATTATCAGACCAGGCACTCCTCCAAAATGAGGATTAGATCTGATAAACAACTATATCTCTAGGGTTTAGTATAGGACCTACCAACCTCAAATAAGTAAATAGTGCCTATTTGCCTTCATTCCTCAGGGAATACTGGTTGAATGCATAAATCTCATCATCACAGAAAGGATGTCTTTGGCAGGAAGACAATGGAGATACATGAAAGTGGACTACTTTTCTCGCCCCAAGCCACATGGCCAGGATCCTACATCCTTGTTGCTTGACTGCCTCTCATTTTATAATTCAAGAGTTGCCAGCTGTCTTATTGATTCTGATCTTTTTATTCCACACATCTCAACTGTTGCTGAGCTGTTTCATTCTAGGAAGCAAAGGGCTTTTCTGGTTGTTCCTGAGATTGCCAGCCTGAATCTCCTTTCTGGAGCACCCACCAGGTTCTTTTCCAATGGTATCGGAATCTTGAAAGGGCAGCAGATCCTTAGGCACAGGTGAGGAGAGTTGCTAGAAGACAACACTGTCAAAGAATTAGCAAAGTTGAGAATGTGCCAGCATCCAAGGGTCAAAATGTCAAGAGGGGTATCCTGTTCCATAGCATGACAGTTCTAGAGGGGGTGCCAAAAGGATAACAGAGGCCTTATGAGTGCCCAGGAATCAAGTGGAGATTAGGACCAACACATCAGAGTGCAATTAAGCAAAAGGGGAAATCTATTTAAAGGTACCAGAACAACAGGAACCACGCAACCAGGCTTCAGGAGAAAGTAGTAACCAGGGTCCTAAACTTCATTCATCAGGGTTCTCTCTCTCTCTCTCTCTCTCTCTTTCCAAGGTGTCACTCTGTCACCTAGGCTGAAGTGCAGTGGCATGATCTTGGCTCATTGCTGCCTTGGCCTTTCAGATGATCCTCTCACCTCAGCCTCCCTAGTAGCTGAGACTACAGGTACACACCACCATGCCAGGCTAATTTTTGTTTGTAGAGACAAGATTTTGTCATGTTGTGCAGGCTGGCCTCAAACTCCTAGGCTCAAATGATCCAGCCACATCAGGCTCCCAAAGTGTTAGGATTACAGGTGTGAGCCACCCACCCAGCAACAGGGACTTCTATCTCTTTTCTCTTCCCCCACCCACTTCCTCCTGTATCCTCCTCCACCTCCAGCTTTTTCTGGCCCTTCTGACAGCAAGTACCCTCAGGAGCAGCTCCCTAAATCTACATACTAGAGATCTATCCATAAGAAGATAGATGGAACCACTCTCCTCTTCTGAATTCTAGAGCCTTAAGAAAGGTAACCTGAGTGACTCAGCTTGGATCAAGTGCCATCCTGGTCCAAATAACTATAGCAGCACATCTGTGTATTTGTGTATCTTGTTCCTCCATAATCTTGCTGTCTGGGTAAAGTATGCAGATGGATGGGTCCCTGAAAAGCAGGAGCTGTTTAGACAACCCTACAGGTGCTTAGTTCTGCGAAACATGAGTTGGGCCAGGTTGATAACTAGCCTAAGAGAGTCAGAATCAAATGAATAAGAACTAGATCTTGGGTGACCACCTGGATCAAGAGTCTTGAAGTTCAGTCATTTCAAAAAGCTCAAGTCTCATTTCTTCTTGGCTGTCTGGCTAAGATCATGCGCAGTATCTGTTCTTACCAGTTTAATATCTGATACATCCCCTATCTGAGGATAATATAATAAAGAGATTTTTGGAGCAAGGAGATGGAATAGGAGCCTGCTCTGTTCACCACACATTGACCTGGATTGCAGTACCACCAGGAATGGTGCATCCTCCCTACCATTCCCCAAAAGCCCAAGTCTCAAGAGGTAGTCTGGAAAAAAGTATTTTGGGGTTTGCCTGCATTTTATTTTATTTTATTTTATTGAGATGGAGTCTCACTCTGTCGTCCAGGCTGGAGTGCAGTGGTGCCATCTCGGCTCACTGCAACCTCTGCCTTTGGGGTTCAAGTGGTTCTCCTGCCTCAGCCTCCCAAGTAGCTGGGATTGCAGGTGCATGCCACCATGCCCAGCTAATTTTTATATTTTAGTAGAGACAGAGTTTCACCATGTTGGCCAGACTGGTCTCAAACTCCTGATGTCAGGTGATCTACCTGCCTTGGCCTCCCAAAGTGCTAACTCTACATGCATAAGTCACCATGCCCAACCGGCTCTACCTACATTTTGGAGATGCTGCACACCATGTCCCTCTTTTCAAGCACCACATAAGTATTTTCATATGGAAGACCCTGAGAAAGCCCCTGGGGAAAAAAAAAAAAGTTTAACTGTAAATATATCCTGGCTAACATGGTAAGACCATGTCTCTACCCTAAAATACAAAAAAATTAGCCAGGTGTGGTGGCACACACCTGTAGCCCCAGCTACTCAGGAGGCTGAGGCAGGAGAATCGCTTGAACATGGGAAGCGGAAGTTGCAGCGAGCCGAGATCACGCCACTGCACTCCAGCCTAGGCGACAGAGCAAGACTCTGTCTCAAAAAAAAAAAATTAATTAATTAATTAACCGTAAATATAATAATGTATGTATTCATATGTGGAGCTTTTCTTTTAGTAGATTATCTATAAATAGTCCACTGTTCCCAGTGCATACTTTGGAGACAGACCTACGCTATCAGTTTTCACCTGCTAGTTATTTTTATAAGGGCTAAGATGGTCCATGAATGAAAGTCTTGATTTAAAGCCGTGTTTCCCAAACCTCATTTATTTGCCTGTGACCTTCCTGGAGTTTGTCTTATATGTCCTCTCTGTGCATATTCCTATATGTTTTTTATGTAAATCAGTTACTTTTTTTTTTTTAAGCCTCATCCCAGTTATATCCTTAAGGCAATCATTTTTTCTCATACACATTGAAATACTATCTATTAAAATTAAAATGCTTGTCCATGCACTACTACCAATAATCTCAAGTACCATATGGTGGGGACATGAGTTTGAAGTGTTGGGAGCTAGGAGTGGACTCTGTAAGACACAGTAAGTTAGTCAACTTCTGAGCACTGCCAGCCACACATGCTGGTAGAGAAGTTCAGCCTGTGACAAGACTGCCCCAATATCTCCATGTCTGTGCACGGAGATGTCTTCAGTCTGTCGTTGCGGAGTCTGTGCTGTTTTCATGCCTACCACTTCTTTGTAGGGACCTGGAAAGTAAATGCAGGCCAGGTATGGTGGCTCATGCCTGTAATCCCAGCACTTTGGGAGGCCAAGGTGGACAGATCACAAGGTCAGGAGTTAGAAACCAGCCTAACCAACATAGTCAAACTCCATCTCTACTAAAATTACAAAAATTAGCCAGGTGTGGTGGCACATGCCTGTAATCCCTGTTACTCAGGAGGCTGAGGCAGAAGAATCACTTGAACCCAGGAGGCGGAGGTTGCAGTGAGCTGAGATGGTGCCACTGTACTCCAGCCTGGGTGACAGAGTCTCAAAAAAAAAGCAGATTCTCCCTGGGAAATGGGGTTTGGGAGTGGAGTAGTGTAGGAGGCACCATTATTCCTGAAGGAAGGCCTCAAATTATCTTGGACTCACTGCAGAAAGCAGGTGGGAGCCAGATGCCTCATCTTCTAACCTGGGATTGATCCTGAGATGGGAAGAGTATGAGGAGAGACACCAAGAGCAAGGCAAAACTGGCTCTGGCAGTTTGCTTCAGAGAAAGAGTATAGCTTTGGAGTCAAGCTGACCTGAGTATGAATCCAAGACTCAGCACTTACTAGCTGCCTGCCCTCAAACAATTATTTTTTGATAGTCTATCACATATCCACAGTGATCACCATGAAGTGGATGAGGAAACTGGGATGCAGAGAAGTTAAACAACTTGCCTGAGATCACACAGCAGAACCGAATTCAAACCTAAGTTGATTTGACTTCCAAATGTGTGCTCCTAACAAAAGTAGGGAAATCTGCTTTGATTTGCTCATTTCTTGAGCACCTCTTCTGTAGGAGGGCCTGTTGCTGGGTGCTGAGAATCCAGTGGTAGGCAAGATGGACAAGACTCCCCCCTTTCACAGACCTTGCTTTCTATAGGGGAAATAGACAGGAAACCACCAATTACTCCATTTGTAATTTAATAACAAGTATCATAAGTGTTACAAAGGAAATAGATACTATAAGGCACCTTTTATTTTATTTTTATTTGTTTATTTATTTTTTGAGACTCACTCACTCTGTTGCCCAGGTTGGAGTGCAGTGATGCGATCTCAGCTCACTGCAACCTCTGCCTCCCAGGTTCAAGCGATTCTCCTGCCTCAGCCTCCTGAGTAGCTGGGATTACAGGTGTGCACCACCACACCCTGCTAATTTTTGTATTTTTAGTAGAGACAGGGTTTCACCATGTTTCCCAGGCTGTTGTTTAACTCCTGACCTCAAGTGATCCGCCCACCTTGACCTCCCAAAGTGGTACGATTTACAGGCACTAGCCACCGCGCCTGGCCTATAAGACACCCTTGGTCAGCCAGTGGAAGCAGGGTCAGTAGTATGCCAGGGAGTCGCTTTGAAAAAGTGATATTTAGGTTGATCTGGAAGCATTCACAAGATGTGGTAAATACATCTAATGTTTACCATTAGATATGATAAACATACTGATGGTCCACTGGATGAACATTTTTCATATTTACTTCCAAATGATTTCATAGATAATATTATTTCACAGATATCACTTAGGATGAATGTAAATAAAAAGGAGATCAATTAAAATGTTAAATAATAACATTGAACATGGTAATAGATGTGGCAATAGCCACAAAGGAGTAATGGCTAGATTTGCATGTTGAAAAGATCACTTTGGCAATTATTGGAATGGAGTTTGGGAGAGGGCCAAGAATGGAAGCAGCAATCCCTGTTAGGAGTGTGTTGTATTTAAAAAAAATTTTTTGAGATAGTGTCTCACTCTGTTGCCCAGGCTGGAATGCAGTGGTACAATCATGGCTCACTGCAGCGTCAACCTCCTCGGGCTCATCCCACCTCAGCCTCATCCCACCTCAGCCTCCTGAGTAGCCAGGACTACAGGCACATACCACCACCCGCTACTAGTTTTTGTATTTTTTGTAGAGTCAGGATTTTGCCATGTTTCCCAGGCTAGTGTTGAACTCCTGGGTTCAAGTCATCTGGCAGCCTCTGCCTCCCAAAGTGCTAGGATTACAGGTGTAGGCCACCACTCCCAGCCAGGAGCCTATTGTATTAATCCAAGCAAGAGAACGCAGACTTCAAAGGCTTATGGGCATAAAAGAGAAGTAGATGGAGTGAAGAGATGCTATCAGCTGGGCTAGTGGGAAATGAGGGAAAGGAAGATGTCAGGATGGGGCTTTTCTAGCTGAGTGGAGATGAAATCATCCCGGGAGAAGCTTGTGAGGCATCCCACTATAGATGCAAGGTAGGTGGCTGTTGGTCACTTGTCTTTAAGACAGTTTGACTTTTGTAAAACAGGCGACCTCACAGAGCTACTGTGAGAATTCAGAGCTGAGCACAGAATAGATGCTCTATAAACGATAGTTCTATTCCCCATCTGCAGCGTCCTCCCAGCATGCCAGGGTTACAGCGGTGGATAGCGGCAGGTTCAGTTCCCTTTCGTTCCCTGCCATTCCCTCTCCCCTCAGCACAATCCCTGGGCTCAAAACAGGTGCTCAGTAAGTATTTGTATAATGAACCAAAGAAAAAATCAGGTCCCTGGTGACCCAGGTCTACATGTACTCAGTGGAAAACTGGGGCTACCCAGGACCCTTGGTTGGTTGAAAAGTTAAAATAATCTTGAAGTGGGTGTGAAATACTGCAGAAGTTGGAGGGCCTGGATAAAGGCTAGGGAGGGGACTCCTCCCACCAGGCAGCCTCAAGGCCGAATTAGCAAGAGACGAGGCACTGGGGAAAGCTCTGGGGTCCCAGTTGCCAAGGTACTCGCAGCTCCGAAGAGATGCGGACGCAGAATACCAGCTCCGCCCAAGATCGCCTGGGTCCCGCCGCGGCCTTTAAAGGCCCACCACGTGGCCGCGCGTCCGGCCTAGTCCGGAGGCGGTGCCCAGGTGGCGCCTGCGCAGTGCCTAGTAGAGGGGTTGGGGTTCCGAGAAAAGGCGTTGGGAGAGGAAGGGGAGGCTGCTTGAGGTGGGAGGCCGTGGGAGGAGTCGGCTTCTTATGCAAATCACAGCGGCGCGCGCGTGGTCGGGAGGCGGAGCTTGCGATGCAAAGCCAGGTCCGTCCAGCGAACCGCGAGGGGGCGGGCCGCAACCCTCGGCCTCTTTCCGCGAGCGCTGACGTCGCCGACGTGGTGTTTAAAAACGGCCGCGCAGGCGCAGTGAGCCCAAATGCGAACTTAGGCTGTTACACAACTGCTGGGGTCTGTTCTCGCCGCCCGCCGGGCAGTCTGGCAGCGTCGCCGTCGTGGTAGCAGCCTCAGCGGTTTCTGGAGTCTCGGGCCCACAGCCGCCTCCGCTTACGTGCGCCTCCTCGAGCCTCCGGGGTCCCCGTTCGCCCGTACAGGCCGGTTCACCGTCTGCATCTCCCCCACGCCGCCTCACAGTCCACCGCGCTCGTAGCTCCGGGCCGACATGAGTGGGGACCACCTCCACAACGATTCCCAGGTACTTACTGCCCGGCCTGACCCCGGAGGCCCGGGACCCCGGCCCGACCGTCCCGCAACCCCAGGCGCAGGCCCCGGCATCAGCCCCGGTCCCGCCGCTTTGACAGGCCGGAGCCCCCGGCGAGGGGCAGTCCGCCGGAGGAGATCGGCTCGCTAGGCCGCGAGCGAGGGCCACGAAGTTGCAGTTCGAGGGGGGATGGCTGCCCTCTGAGGCCGTTCC